TCTCTCTCCCCCGCTGTTCTCTCTCTGTTCTCTCTATCTCTCTCTCTCAGCCTCTGTCCACTCTCTCTTTCACTCAGTCCGCTCTCTCTCTCTCTCACTCACACACTGTCACACGCGCACACACATACCCATACTGTGCACTCTCTGTCTGTTGCAGACCCCCTCACTCTCTTTCTCTCTCTCTCTCTCTCACACACGCACACACACACACACACACACACACACCGAGTTCCCCCACTGTGTCTCAAAAGAGCTCATCCACCAGGTCGCTGGTTCGAAAGTTCAAATGCACCTGGAGTCATTTTACAGCCAGGTGCGTGATTCTAGTAAATAAAGTAGCAGACTTACAACAATTTCCCCCAATCAAGGGGACACTAGTTAGTGAAAATTAGAATATAGATAATACAAGAAATGACTTGTTTTCTGCCAATCAGCGAAATGACAGACTTAGTGGCCCTTACAAGTGCTTCAGCACTTCGGTGATTCCATGTGATTGGGCAGACAGCAGTTTCCCCCAATCAAGGGGGCACTAATTAGTGAAAATTAGAATATAGATAATTCAAAAAGAGCTTCTTTTCTGCCAATCAGCGAAGTGACAGACTTTTCACACCAGAAAATCCATGAATGATTATGGCCCCTGGCTGTTTCCGCTTTTGACATTAACCTGTTAAAAAAAATTAAAATAAAAATAAAAAAAATAGATAGGAAAATAAATAAATAAGAGAATAAAGTTGATTAGTGTCCACAGTTTGCTGGTTTGCTGTCATGGAGCCCACTTGAACCCCCCATACAAGGCTTGAACATACATTACTCAGAGTGCCCCGTGTGTGGATGAATGCTCGGTTCAGCAGATTATTGTGTCCTCCGGTCACCGTCGATCTCCGCGGCCACTCTGACCTGTAGCTTTCAAGGCATCTGAGGTGTCTGAYCCCACCAGCAGTGGGATCACTCGGCTGTCCGGGGATGCTTGATTGGTGGATCCCCGACGTGTCCAATCCCTTCAACAGTGGGATCGCTTGATTGCCTCGTTAGTAAAAGTGACAGATCCCCCTGGCTGCTCCCGCCAACAGCGGGGACACAAGCAACGTTCAATTGCATGGTTGACGAACCTGGCCGCCCCCGTYAACATGCTCGATTACGGAATCAGTGAGGCTGACTATTCCTGCTGTCAGTGGGGATACTTGGAATTCTCGATTGCCAGATCAGCAATACTGGTTGTTCCCACTTTCAGCAGRGACACTTGTTCTTTCTCACACACACACAGCGCACTCGCTCTCTCCCAGAGCACTCTCTCTCTCATCCAGCACACTCTCTCTCACTCACTGCACGGTCACTCTCTCTCTCACTCACTGCATAGTCCCTCTCTCTAATATTGCGCAACCCTTTTCTCTCACACTCTGCACGCTCTCTCTCTCACGCAGTCTCTCACTCGCAAGTAACCGCCTGTGCGCCGACGCGTCTCCGCCTCGAGCTCGTCTCCCACTCTGCAATTGCTTGACGCCGGACACACCTGGCATGCAATCCCATTCCCTTCACTGTTCTCCCCTATATCCGCTTCAGTCCCATGGTCTGACTGACCAGGGCCTTCTCGGAGTGCAAGTGTGCAGGAAATAGTCTGTCGCGCCATGGAGGAAAAAGAAAACAGTGGTACCGGTCTCACAGGCTCGTCGTACCATACCTGAAACATGTCGAACATGGCAAGATGCAGCGGCGCGGTAATAGTACCGAACCTGAAGTAAACCGTCGCAATGATCCCGGACCTGAAAGTAAATCACCGCAGAGGTTTCGAAATAAATTGTCGTGAGGGCGTCAAACCTGAAACGAAACACCGCGATGCCACTGAACCTGAATCCTGTACCGGGCTGTTGTGCCATGCGGATGCCGAACCCGTACAATCATGCCATGATAACCTGTCCCGAACCTAATATAGAATGTCGCAACGTTTCCGGACCTGAAAATAAACTGCCGCCTGGAATAACTGTCGTAGTGGCCCCGGTCCTGAGAATAAATCACTACAGCTATCCCAAACCTGAAAATAAGTCATCGTAGTGAGACAACTGCCACCGGGCCTATACCGTACCTGAAGCACGTCAGACACCGTAGGACGTAGCCACTCCGTAACGACCCTCGTATCCGTACCGAACCAAACACCATAGTCGACCCAAGGCAGCACCACCCCATGCTGTCCATGCGACTCGTGCTCTTAGAACATCTCAACTGCGGTAATATTAGTAATCAAGCACACCAGGGAAAGCGTCGCAGGGAACCTCGACCATCGGCAGTAGTGTTAACTTGTTAAAATTCAGGGAAAATTATCAATCCGGAGTCAGAGCTGATGGCGGGTAATCGAGGCGAAATTAGGCCAATCTCCCAATGGTCATGGGTTCCCGTCCCTTTCATCGTTTTTCATCATTCTTCCCTTTCCTTAATTCTATTGTCGGAAATAGTAAATTAACTGTAAGTTTCCCAAAATTAAATTCCGAGAAAATTTAAATAAATGGCCGAATTCCTTTTGTTTCGTTTCTCTTTTACCATTTTTAATTTTTTTCTATGTTTTTAATTTCATTGCCGGGAACATAAAATAACAAGGGTATTCCCCCTTGAATTTAATGCCGTTAAAAATAAAGAAATGAAGGGATATTATGTTTTTCCCTTCTCCCCTACTGGTCGTAATCCCTTTTCCCCATCTTTAATTATGGTACTAAAATAGACAAAAATTTGAGGCCTCATTTCGGCCCCGGTCGTATGCCGCAAAAAATGTGGCTGCGGGGTCAGTTCCCGCGATGCCTCTCCACGGTAGGCCAATCCGGGTCTAACCCTCTAAACGGCCGGAAATGACGGTCCGTTGTTGTGCCGAGTGCGACCACCCATCTCGCCATCTTTGAGGGTTACCCGTAAGGTTCAGCGCGCCCAAAATCAAGGGCGCCCTGAGCTACCCTAATTTCCGCTGCCTCGTCTAACCAGAGTACCGTCAAAACTCAGACTCGTCTTTGCGCCTAAGTCCCAAAATCGTAGATTTCAGGCGGCGCACTGCTTGTGGCCGCCTGACAGTTAGCCCGGACCACTTCTCGACGCCCCCGTCGAGCCCTAGCAACTTACGTCAGACGAAGCGGATGAGCTTCAGGGTGATGGCCCGTAAAGGACGCCCATGTTTCAGTTTGTTAGAAGTCATGGGGCTAAGAAGATGCTTCTGGACTCTCTTGTTTCTTCTGGTTTTTGGCCCGACACGATCCTCTTTTTCTTCTGTCTTTGCCCCGAGAAGGGTGTCGACCCGCCAGTACGTCTAACGCGAACTCTCCGTCTAGCTCGCTTGAGCACGAATAACCATCTCTTCTGTCTTCCTAAAGCTAACCCTTTGACCTTTCTCTTCTCTATTCTTTTCCTTTTCTTGGAACTCTCCCCTGCCTCGAATTGCCTCAAGGGGGCTCCTTCCTCCATTATGGCGTTTCCTTTCCCTTTCGGGCTGGTCAGCGATAAGGCGGGCGCGGACCTGGGCCTAAACAACTTTAACCTAGTGCCCGCCCTTGGGTCCTTCCACTTAGATCCATCCAATTTTGCTATCATATATGCACCCCAGTCGAGTTYCTCAACCACTCTGTAAGGTCTCATCCATCTATTTGCGAGTTTTCCGGTCCAGGTCCTCTCCAGTGCCACGTCGTAGAGAAGGACCATGTTTTCTACGCTCACCCTCTCTTTCCTGATTCGCTTGTTCTTATCCCATCTCTCTTTACCCTTGTCCCTTTCCACTGCCAGACGATCTGCCGCTGTCATAAGGTTATCTTCCAAACCGTAGGCTATCTGTCTTGTTCGGGCAGCTAAGAGTTCCTCTCTGGACATCTCCTCCGCCCTGTCGACGGTTGTCCAGCTGTCGACGTGAAACTCTATGGGAAGCGGACAATGACGCCCAAACCACAAGGTGTACGGTGGGTATCCGGTACTAGCCCGGACCATGACGTTGTCCGCCCATATTGCGTATCGAAAATATCGTGGCCAATC